CAGCTCAGCCAGTTTTCAAGGCTTGGCCATACAGTGTTTCTAGGATATGGCTTTGGTGCTGCACCACCAGTCCTCTGCCCTCCCTCATTGCCAGTCCCAGTCAAGAAAGCCCTCATGTATTTTCTTGCCAGCTGGCCTAAAATGGAATATTTTAGTTTACTAGATATACTCAAAAAGCAGTGAACCTCAAAAGGGAAGACAAAACTGATTGCTTTGCTGCATGCTGGTTCCTCAACTCTTTAAAAATAACAATTTAAGTTCTAACCTGCTCCTGCTACTTGTCTGTCATCTGCATAATTAAAAGAGAAAGCTTAAGTAGTTCTTTACAGAACCAAGAAGGTTTATCCAAAATGACTTACTGTCTCCCCCAGCAGGAATAGGAGTTACTGGCAACTTTTGAGTAGGAACATCTTCTGCTCTTAAAGAAATTAATTTCTACCTCTTGGCAAACAATTGCGTTAATATTTGTAAAGCTTTCTTTTAAAATACTTTCACAAACATCCTCTCATCGTAGCATAACATAAATACGAATATGTTCTGAAACTAAAATATTTTTTTTTTTAGTTACTCTTTGTCATAATTTCAAAAACAGCTCCTGAGAAAGACTGAGCCAGGACTAGCTACATAATTTGTAAAGACCATTGTAAAATGAAAATGCAGAGTCCTTTGTTAAAAAATTACTAAGAATTTCAAGAGGGTGGCTGCAAAACATTACACCAAGCGTGGGCCCTTTGGAGCTCAGGTCCCACTTGACTGCAAACATTGCCCACCCAAGCAGCAGCCCTGAGCCAAGCTAGCTGAGATCACACGGAGTAGGTATAATTATAATTCAAGCAGGACCCCGGTGTCTTCTAGTGACCAGTATTGTATTTCTTTACATTTGGGGTATGTTGCCTTCCAAGGCTGTCCCATCAGTGCTTAAAAAACAAACAACAAACCACCTTTTCAGACCCTACTCCCTTGAGACTAATCGTTAAGTTATTGAACAGCACAGTTCACGTAGTTCAGGCTTTCTAGTTCCATATAAGCAGTCACAGTAGTTAGACAGAAAGTTCCTTCTGGGAGGAGTTTAATTAAGGATGGCATCTACTACAATGCAACAGGTATGTGGAGGAGGGATTAACAAGGATGGATCTGTGTTTTCTCTTCCTTGAGGTTTCCTTAAGGAGTAAATTGTCGCCCTGCTAAAGCAGTTGCATTGCTGGTTCATTGAATCTTCTTTTTTTTTGCATTTGGGTCATGTGCTGAGAGAATGTGTAGGAATGTGGAAGTTTATAAGCACGTGATTTAATACAAAGTTGTAATCAAAGGCAGAGCCTTTTAAATATGTAAACAAAAATATAGGTAGTGCACCGCATTTCCTGGGAAGATGATTTAGAGGCCTGAAAAGGGTCACCTTTTCCTAAGTAGCTGAGGAAAGTGTTTATCGATAGTGTTCACCTAAGTGAAGCACAAGGCTAAGGGAGTTACCTGGGCCTTTTACATACAATCCCAAGCCTTCACTTTCTTAGGAGAAATCTTTTCCTGGTCAAACGTATTATCGAATGCAGTGTTCATCCTAACAAGGGAACAAGGAAGGAGATGAGAGGAAAGTCACTTTGATGGGGCTCTATATGTATCAGGCATTGTGCTAAGGCTGTTCTCATGTATTATTTAATACATTAAGGTTCATTAACATTTAATATTTAATAGAAATTGAACAAAGGAAAGAAATCAACAGCTTGAGTAAGGGAAAAAGAATTCAAGGAAAATAGAAAGAATGATTAACAGGGAGAAAGAATTTGTAAAGTCCCTTAGAAGTCTAAAAAGTGGTTGCTAAAGCAGAGGAATAGTTAATATGAAAGAAAGCACTTACCAGAGTTAATGATAAGGTAAAAAGAAATGAGATTACATTAGAAAATTCCTTATTATCATAGTCATGGCCCTGAAAATTAATTATTTCCTTAGGGATTGCAGAAGTCGAGTTCATTTTAATAATTTAGTAGAATAAAGGTAAGTTACAGTATTTATTCATAAGCTGAATGGACAAGCAATTCATTATGTCCCAAATCTTTAATTTTTGTGCTTTTTTGTAGAAACATAACAGTAATGGAGAAAAGACCAGATTTTCCATTTAATTTTGTTGCAATCCATGTACCATCTATGTGTTTATATTAATAGATTTTAAAAATAGAAAAGTGATACTTGAAGAATATAGCCTGGAAAATATTGTTTTATGCATTAAGCTGTCACAGCCAATCGACCTGAAAGATGTGAAAGATATAGGCATTGAAAGGTTAAAACTGATGATGAATGTCACATGCAAGAAACATGCCAAATGCACCATGGAGAACAATAAATGGAATTTACTTAAAAGCCCTGTTTGATGAGCTCACCAAATACTTATCTACTGTGTTCCCACTGCTCTGCAGTGAGTGTATGAGAAATACAAATACTAATGTATGCTTAATATCGTGTGTTTCAAAGAACTTTACTACAGTTCTTAGAATAGATTGGCTAATTAAAGTTCCCGAATGCTAAGAGGAAAGGGAGTCAAGCTTCATACCCTATGATTTGAAGGTTAGAAGGATGAAGATTTTTCCAAAAGTGGGGTGGTAGGGTGATTAATAAAATCAGTCAATAAGCCAGGAACATAGAGACACTGGTAATTAAATTTTAAAATGTATTGTTGTTGTGAGGTTGTCTTTAGCACAAGAATATTGTGTGTGTGTGCCATTTTCATCAAGATGAAATTATTTGTTATTTCTCTTAGCTGTTCCTTCCAAGAGGTAAAGTGATTTAAAAACAAACCAACAACATATTCTTTGGCTCTCCTATGCTTTTTAATGAGCAGACTGTAGGTGATTTGAACCTTCCTTTCTCTTTCGTAAGACTGTATTTTCTCCCAGTATTTTCTTCTGTGGTGATATTTTACTGGTCAGCAGGTGGCTAACAAAAAATAACAAGCAGCTGAAGAATTGGTACCAAGATGGGGGGGCGGGGGATTCCTTGCCTCTCATTTTCTCCCTGGGGGAGGCTGGAGGAATAGAAGAGAAATGCTATATACGTATTAAAAATCCCTTTGGTCGCTGCTAAGAATGAATATAGCCTGAGAATCAGTTGAACACATTTTAGAAATTTTTGGATAAAACGTTTTTGGCAGAAGCCTTTTTCAGATATAGATCTGTTGTACCTGTAAATAGCAGTTAAGGCATCAGTTGGCAGATCCCAAGTGCCGTTCGGTAGCATTCTTGTGATGTGGTTGTATTTCCCAGAGCCTCCTCCTGCACCTTGAGTTTCGTTGCTAAACTATGTCCCTTCTCACAGTTCCATCAATGGTTCTGCACTGGTGGGGATGTGGCTCTGGAGCAGGAAGCGAAGAAAGATAAGATTGCCTGGAATTCAACTCTTAGAATAAGTTAGAGACAGCTTTTCATTTCCATCTGCACTCATTCCCCTGTAGCTAACTTAATTGCTTTCTTTATTTCTTTTTAGAATCACTAGTTAAATTTGAGAACCACGTGAGAAAGCTCCTTTGACCATTTGTGGCTAAGAACACAGTCTTGAGAGACAACAATGAAACTAAAAACCCTCTCTTCTCCCACTGTCCTCTTTAACCCCCTGTTTTCCCTGTTGTGTTTCAGAGACCCTGAGAATGGCTTTCAAAGGTCTCCAAAAATGGTCCTTTTTTTTTTTTTTTTTAACCTTTCCTTTAGTTCAGAATAGGCTTTCCCCCCCCTTCTGCTCAAATTCCACACACCCATTGAGAGCTAGGTCCAAAGTTCTCCCCTACCCTGAAATTTTCTCGTCCATTTTTAATGTTTGTGTTCACCTTTTGCCTAGACCAGTTAATCCCCACTGCTGCTTTGACCTGTGGTGCAGGATCATTTAGTTTTCAGGTGTTGGTATGTTTTGTCTCGTCAGCTCTTCTGTACACTTTCCTCAGCCGTGGAGTAGTTCATGCTTTCTAGTTCCTTTCATTACTCCTTGTCTTGTGGGCATTCAGTAAGTGACTACGTGTGATGGTGCTCTCCCATCACAGAGGCTTAGAACTTACTGGTGTATCTATTAGTCATTGGCTAGGTCTGATATGTCATTGATGGCCAAGGCTTTCTGCAATATTAATAGTTATGCTTTGTATTTAATAGTGCTTTTTATATGTGCTAATTTTTATACACAAGATGAAGATATTGGGCCAACACAAGGGGAGCAGAAGCCATTTGTTTTTCTTGTAGTGGCGATGGCTTGCTTTCCTAAAGCTGGGTAGCCATCTGCTTCTAGCTCTCTGTGTGACCCCCACACAGGGACTTGTCGGGCTGTCATTATTGCCCGTTGTTCATTATAGGGGGCTCCGGGGAGAGGCACTGGGGAGGAGCGCTGGCTCTTCCCAAAGAAGTGAGGGTGGTGCAGCTTTGGTCTTTGCCCACCTCTGAGTTAGCTGCTCTGGCTGGTGAGAGGCTCAGCCAGGCTTCATGATCGGGTGAAGATGATTCTACCAGATCATTGGACATCCTTAAATGATTCTTCCTTTTTAAAACAAGTGTGAAAACAAATTGAAGCATGGTGAAAATAACGGCACACATAACTAAAACTATTGTCAAATAGTTTTGAAAATAGTCCCACAGAGCAATAGACCCCGAATGAAATCTGATGATGTGTTCCAGATTCATCTGCAGAAGTGACTGTATTGTCTAGCAGATATCTATTCTTCTTCTGTATACAAGGAGGGTCAATTATAATAAGTTCAAGAATAAAGTAAGAGCTTACCAAGTGTTGGTGGTATAATTTGGATCAAGGACAGTGTACACAATGATCATTTAAACTCATTAGAATTCTATGAAGTTGTCCATAAAGACCAAGATCAATAAATGAGAAAGACCATAGCTAATATTTCAGCACAAATTCTCTTCCTTGAGTCTTTTATGTCTTTCTTGAGTTTTTCTATGACAACTGCATAAAGTGGAGAATGTTTTATCTGTTATCCGACAAAACCCCGTGTGTTCTTGCTTTCTCTGAAGGAAACACTCAATTGCTCTGAGTATGGAAATGGATCTTGCCTGGAAAACGAAAGGCCCCTGGGCGTCCGAGCTGCCATGTATGCATTCATGGCCGGAGCCATATTCATCACGGTGTTTGGCAACCTCACCATGATCGTTTCCATCTCCTACTTCAAGCAGCTTCACACCCCAACCAACTTGCTCATCCTGTCCATGGCAGTGACCGATTTCCTCCTGGGGTTCACCATCATGCCCTACAGCATGGTCAGGTCGGTGGAGAACTGCTGGTACTTCGGGCTTACATTCTGCAAGATTCATTATAGCTTTGACCTGATGCTTAGCATAACGTCCATTTTCCACCTTTGCTCCGTGGCCATAGATAGATTTTATGCGATCTGCTACCCTTTGCGGTATTCCACCAAAATGACAATTCCAGTCATTAAGCGGTTGCTACTTCTCTGCTGGTCAGTCCCCGGAGTATTTGCATTCGGGGTGGTCTTCTCAGAGGCCTACGCAGATGGAATCGAGGGCTATGATATCTTGGTGGCTTGTTCCAGCTCCTGCCCTGTGATGTTCAACAAGTTATGGGGGACCACGATGTTCGTGGCAGGTTTCTTCACTCCTGGGTCCCTGATGGTGGGCATTTATGGCAAAATTTTTGCAGTATCCAGAAAACATGCTCGTGCAATCAGTAACTTACCAGAAAATCAAAATAATCAAATGAAGAAAGACAAAAAAGCAGCCAAGACTTTAGGAATCGTGATGGGTGTTTTCTTATTATGTTGGTTTCCCTGTTTCTTCACAATTTTATTGGATCCCTTTCTGAACTTCTCTACTCCTGTAGTTTTGTTTGATGCTTTGACGTGGTTTGGCTATTTTAATTCTACATGTAATCCCTTGATATACGGTTTCTTCTATCCCTGGTTTCGCAGAGCACTTAAGTACATTTTGCTGGGTAAAGTTTTCAGCTCACCTTTCTATAACACTAACCTGTTTACTCAAAAAGAAATGGAATAGGCTTATTCTGTATGAGTGAGTTGAAGAAAAGGAACTGGAACTAAGAAGAATGAAGTCATTAAAGTCATTGGTTAGCTGAGAGTTAAGCCTTGCCTAGATCTGACTGTTTTGAGGTTAAACATTTTTTAAACCAGAGAAGAAATGGAAATTGTGTAACGGAGGCCACAGATTCAACCAACATTTTCATTCATGTATCTTCTTAATTACAGCAATTTTTATTTTATTAGCAGGATAATTCTATTCAGTGCCTTCCTTTCTTCCTCAGGCTCATCCATGTTTTGTATTGCTAATTGGTATTCTGGTTTTTAATAAATGTAAAGTATATACCCCAAAATGTTGTGTATTCCATAGATATATGAATAATAGAATAGTGAGAGAAGGAAACACAGAAAAAAAACTAATATTTATAGATTTATAGGGTGGGAAGGCCTCAAGTTCTATTGTATTTGTTGCTTAGTGTCTTTTTAACTGTAAGTTGAGACCCATTAGTAACTTGTGAAATTGATTTAGTGGTCAATAAGCAGTGTGTGCCGGCAAATGCTTAACACCTGGCTCTAAAAAAAAATAAGTCCTGACCTCTAGAATTTGATTATTTTCTTTGTATATAATAAAAATAAATCTTCATTTAGCTAATTTCAAGCTATGAATGTAATGTCAGCTGCCTCTCAAAATTTTTGAAAAACTAACCTATTCTTACCAGTGGTCATGAGTGGTTCCGGTATACTACTGACTGAAAAATAACATTTTTAATGAAAAGGAAACTAGAATAAAAGAAAATAGATAATCTCAAATATATCACTTGCACTGAGGGTAAATATTGCCTTATAATTTTTTTATTTTATTTACATATATGTATATTTTGTGTATGTATTTTTGCATATGTAAGTAAATTGCTTCACCAATATATTTTTTATTTAATTTCTTCATTCACAACATTTCAATGAACAAATTAACATTTTTTTCTCTTTGTGGAAAAGTTTACGTGATTGCCCACAAATTTGCTTTGACCTTAGTGCATTGCACAGATCACAGTGAAACAGTGACTTGCAGCTGTCAGCTTCAGTGCTAGTCGTGCTTAGCGGCCCCCAAATGGGCCTGCACATGTTGTCTGGACCTGCCACGGCCCTTCCATCAGTCCCTCCCTGCAGCCTGTAGGGAAGGTGGAATAGTGGAGCTTCTTTGAAATGGTGAAAGAGACTACAAGTACAAAAGAAATGGAGAAAGAGACTTTTCAGGAGCAGAGAAATTAAAGCCAGGTGCTTTTATGAGACCTAATATGGTGTATTGGGTGTATGACTACTGGGTATGTTTTAGTAATTCTTCTTAATGAAATGATTGTGTTTTGGTATTTAAACATACACATACACATAAAGACTTTGTTTTTAAGAGACCAATTGCTAAGAAATTAGAAACATAGATTTTAGCCCTACTGTAAAGCAGAATTATTTTGAATTAACTTTTATTAAATGCACCTCTCAATTCATTAATATATGACTTTAGAAAATAAAATTAAATAGCTTGGTGTATGGCTGCCTGTTGACATTTACTGGGAAGGAGTTTATGACTGTCCTTTTCACAGAATGATGATGTTTGTGATGATGGTTATTGTTTATACTGGTGCTTACAGATGAAATAAAAATGGGCAGTCCTATGTGGACCATACAGTTTCTAATGATTTTTTTCTCCTTGTATTAGAATTCTATTTGTACATTAAAACTTTATTCAAATAGCTCCTCTGTAAAGTTCTGCTCATTTTCTCTGAACTTTTTCATGGCAATTTTTAATTTCATAGTGTAGTGATCCTGCCTTGTTTCCTAGTGAAGTGGTCCAGCCTCCTATGAACTTACTGCCTTCCCTCACTCATCCTGCTTCCATTTCCCAGAGTTAGTAATGTCTCCACTCCACACCCAGAATTTTATGGGAAGTTAGAGGTGATAAAAATGAACCTGGGGAAATCAGCTATTTGTCCTAGGTTATACAACTAATTACAGAAGCAGGACTAGAACCCACCTATCTTGTTTCATTTGGTGTCATTTACTGAACTAGTTTTTTCAAGATTTATGACACTTGGGCTTTTTCTCTTTTCTTTTGTTCCACTTTAAAAAAACACACACACACAAAAAACACACAAAACTAAGGGTTTTAGTCAAACTGTTACAAATAAATGAAGCAAAAATCAATACTTCCCTCCCACTATGAACTATTCTCATTATATTTGGGCATCAAATAGAAACAGAAACATTTTATTCCTCCTTTGGATATCAGCCAACATAGAGCTCAACCTACATGTGTCTATGTATTTTTAATATATAGATGTTTCAGTACCTATCTTCCTAGAGTGAAACCTAAAGGACTATGAAATAATTATAAATAGTTGTCCTTCATTTGGAAAAAAGAAACTGGAAACTATCTAGGACATCAAAAATACAAAGAATATTTCAGTATCCCCCAGAAAGTTAAAAAAGCAATTCCGCTGGGGCTCTGCAGTTAGTGCCCCTCTTGGAGCTCCTGGGCCTGAGTTCCTGACTCTGGTTCTCTTGAGAGCAGAGCAACCTTATAAGAATCAGATACCTTAATCCTCAATACCACGTTTTAGAATTTCCTGACCTCGTGCCTGCAAAGCCACCAGGAGAGATGCAATGATTCACCACAAGCTTTTCAGGAGAGGGAAGGTATGGGGGCCAAGAAAAAGAATTGGAAATGTACTATTCTTTTTTAAAAATTGTTAATTTATTCTCTTCTTAAAAATAATTGAACAGTGATAATTACATTTTAAAGAGAACCAGACATTGTTACAAATAGGATACAACAGAGAAGGTAGGGCTTTTCCTCTAACTGGAAAATAATTATTCTTATTTGGGTGAAAGAAAGATCTTAAATTTTCCACCAAAATATGTTTGGCAATTTATAAATTTCTATGTAGTGACAATATAAAGAATGTTTTTGCAAAGTCCAAGAACTATGAAGGACATGATTTAGTAAATGCATGGTGCTTATGAATAATGTTAAAATGCACTCTTCTCTTTGATATTGTATCTTAATTTTTAAAATCTCATTATATACTACTTCATTCACTGTCAGATACTACATATTTTATTTTTGGTGTTTTTTCTCTTGCAAGCAGCATTTACTTAAGATATTCTGTTTCTCTTTGCTCCTCAATTTAATCACTCATTTCAGATACAAAGAGTGCCCAAACTAAGAATTAAATTTCTCTACTGTCACGAACTGTTCTTGAATTCAATGGGCATACAAAAAATGTAGACACCTTGCTACAAAGTACATTTTGGGATGGGCCTGAGATTTTACATTTCCAAAAATGTTCCCGAAGATGATGTGGCTGGTCTATGGACCATACTTTGATTAACAGGGACGAGATGGGAGGAACTGTAAGAAGATGATGCCATAGACATTCCTGCTCCCCAAATATATCAGAAATGAATTGTTGCCCAGTATTAGAGATGCTACGGGACAGTGGGAGGCTCACTGGAACAGAAGCTAAAAGAGCTGGATTATAATGTTGGTTTCAGCATTTAGTAGCAATAGCTACCTCATGTATGCATGGGACAGTTGGAGGATACAGTGGAAATGTATTTTTCGAGTAATTTAGAAACTTTCAGACACCCAGAATTTTGATTGTTGACTAGTCCTCAATTGAAATGCTGTTTGTTTTAAAGGAAATTGATTAGCTACTTTCTAAGCAACATTTACTGTTTTCCTAATTTTTTATCTTTCCCAAACAAGTGTCTCTAATACCATGAGACTAGATGCTTATTACATAGATTTCATGGTGTGTTGGAATTAATTTCTTTCCATTTAATTCAATTGCTTCACTACCATGTACATGGCTCTGTGTTTCAAAGGTTAGATCAATGGGATGTTATCTCAGTAACAGTAAATTTCTTGAGAAATTTATGGTTAAGATAAGGTAGTTTTAAAAAGTGCTATGCCAGAAGAAAGAAACAAAGGTATTTGAAATCAAAGTCAGCTATACGAGGGGGAAATGAAACCACCTATCTAAGATCTTTGGTCACCCCAATAGTCTATTATATTATGAGATTAACATAGTCTATTATATTATGAGGTTAACTTCAACTGGGAGAGTCAAAAAAGGTTTCTGGAAAGAAATGATATGTGAGCTGAGCCTTGAAGCGGTCATAGATGAAAGGATTGGCAATCAGGTGGAGGAAAGGGAGCAGTCCAAGCTACCAAGTGGGCATTTGTAGGGCAATGTAGAGGCCACTGTGGCCAAAGGTGGCTGGAGCATTGTAGACTGAAGGGAAGAAAGGCTACAACCAGGGTTTCCATGCAAACAGATGCTGAAGGATAATTTATAATATACAAGTGTGTGCTCTGATGTCCTAGCTAAAGCCTTTTGTCCCAGATCCTTTTCATTGTATCCACCAGAAAAAAAAAAAAAAGGCACAGGGTGGGGCAAAAGTAGGATTACAGTTGTGAGTACATGAAACAGTTTATTCTTGTATTATTATTTATTAACTTTTGTATCATTTTCCATACAAACAACTGCAAACTTCCATACAAACAACTACAAACCTACTTTTCCCCACCCTGTATATGTAGTCTAGATAAACGATTTATTTAGATCAATTCCTTTTTGGCCCTCTACTTCTAATACATTCTCTGATACTTAGTTTTCGTAAAGATTCTTCTCTTCTGCTAGTTTTCAAATTATGCTGTAGTTTATAGCTAATTACAGCAATGACGCTTTGCTTTGGTTTTAATTTTCCCTCTCTCTTCTGCCCTGCTCTCTGAGATGGAGGTTGCTCTGCCTGTTCTGTGAGTGTATTTACTGTCACTCCCTCCCAGCTGCTTTTAAGAAGACAACGGTTTCAAGGTGTCATCTCTGCTCACTGCCAACTGCCGTGTGGCTTTATAAGGTTTCCTTATGAACTGTAAGCTATTTAGAATAAATGTCATTTACGTGCCGGGTACTATTTTTACTTTTTGATGTCACAAGTGTAAATTAGTATAGATAGTTACAAAGTAGATGTATAGAAGAAATAATTTTCTCTTGTTTATTTCAGTTTTCAGTGTTGCATTTGAATACAACCAACTTATTGTCATCTCTAAAATGGCTTTAAAGGAGTCTTTGTTATTGTAGTCTTCAATGTTTATTATCATCTATATGAGATATTAAAGAAGAACCAGAAAAGATACAATATAATGAGTTTTCATAAATTTCAAACTTTTGCTTATCTTTTCTATTATACTCCATATACCATTTATAGGTTTGTAATAATATACTAGCCTAAATTTTGAAATTACTCATGAAACTGTACTGTCACCCTGTTGTTTTTATTTAACAAGTTTAATTAAAAATTAATACAAATTTTCTCTTTGGACGAAATTTCCATTTAGGCCAAGAATGATTTTGGAGCTTTAAAAATAGAATTTACATTTAAGACCTTAATAGTTTAAGATCAATTTTTAAATAGATTATATAAAATTTGACATTAACTTCTGACCTGTGGTAAGAGAAATGATGCAAAAATCATTGTTAATGCTAGTTCCAGGTCTTTAAATGGGTGCTCTTTCTGGTAAGAAACTTCCTCCTTCCTAGCACACCCTGAGGAGGCCTTCAGAAATGGTCAGAGAGGCTAGTTTGAAATTTTATGTGGTTCTCTTAGGCAATTATCTAATCAGCTAAAATACTTTACACTTTAGCCTTAAGTTCCAGAAGCAAGGGCCAATCTGAATTTCAGAAGAAAAAGAAAGCACATTATTAAAGGAAATTATCCACATTTGTGTTGAAATAGAAAAATTTTTAAATTTTGTTTCTTATTACATTTAATTTAAATGACACTAATTGCTCCTATTTTCCTTTGATGATTCTTCTTAGCTGATTTTTTTTCAACAAATAAAAATAAGAAAAATCATAATTTGGATTAATTTAGATATCGGCCCATAGATACACATAGGGGTGGCAATGGCAACTGTACCAGAAGAGCTCAGTTCTGGAAGAGGTGAACATGCCTGGTAACAATGGTGACGCTTGTGTTAGTCGGTACCTTATAGATAGCATGTGAGTATATTTGTCTTCTTCTGGTAGAACCATGGGTTGTAAATTTCTATTATCTACTACATCTTCTATGCCATTCATATTTAAAGGCTATGAAAATTAGATTCTGAACCTAGAGTTTGTTGTCGGGCCAACTCTTCCTCCTACTGAATAAATGTGTTCAGCTCTTTGAAGTTTCTCTTCAATAAGCTTTAGCTCCATGATATAGTCTTGCATTGAAAACCTGACTCATATCTCTGACTAGAGATATGCCAACCTTTTTATCAGCCAGTGCTTGAAGTTGAAATATGAGGGGGAAAGGAAAAGATCTTAATGAGTAATTATTAATATTTGAACATTTCTGACATATAGAACTGGCAATTTCATAGAGGCTATGCTCAACATAATAGATAACACGGAAGACTCAACAAAGGACAAATGACTCAGAAAGCAGACACAATTGCCATAATTCAAAATATTTAAATAAGTTATCATTGAAATGAATTCATAACAAGTGACTCTGAACTTTATTGTACTCTTAGGAGCTGAAATTTCCCGGACTCATCTTAAGAAGAGAAGAAACACTGATTCACCTTCCTAGAAAAGAATTTGAAAAGATAAAGCGCCATGGATCTAACTTATATTCCTGAAGACTTATCCAGCTGTCCAGAATTTGGAAACAAATCCTGTCCTCCCACCAACCGCCCTTTCCACATCCGAGTGGTAATGTACTCGATTATGACGGGAGCCATGGTTATCACCATCCTTGGAAACTTGGTTATAATGATTTCCATATCACATTTCAAACAGCTTCACTCCCCCACCAATTTTCTGATCCTTTCCATGGCAACCACGGACTTTCTGCTGGGTTTTGTCATAATGCCGTACAGCATGGTGCGGTCGGTGGAGAGCTGCTGGTACTTTGGGGACGGCTTTTGCAAGTTCCACGCGAGCTTTGACATGATGCTGAGCCTGACCTCCATCTTCCACTTGTGTTCCATTGCTGTTGATCGGTTCTACGCTGTGTGTTACCCTTTACACTACGCAACCACAATGACCACCTCCATGATACGGCGCCTGCTGGCATTTTGCTGGTCGGCCCCCGCTCTCTTCTCTTTCGCTTTAGTTCTATCCGAGGCCAACGTGTCCGGGATGCAGAGCTATGAGATCCTTGCTGCCTGTTTCAATTTCTGTGCACTTACTTTTAACAAATTTTGGGGGACAGTACTGTTCACCACATGTTTCTTTACTCCTGGCTCCATCATGGTTGGTATTTATGGGAAAATTTTTGTGGTTTCCAAGCGACATGCTCGAGTTATCAGCAACATGCCTGAAAACACAAGGGAAGAAGTGAACAAAAATCTATCTAAGAAGAAGGACAGGAAAGCAGCTAAGACCCTCGGTATAGTAATGGGGGTGTTTCTAGCTTGCTGGTTGCCTTGTTTTCTCGCTGTTTTGATCGACCCATATTTAGGCTATTCTACTCCCATAATAATACTTGACCTTTTGGTGTGGCTTGGGTACTTCAATTCCACTTGCAACCCCCTCATTCATGGGTTTTTTTATCCATGGTTTCGGAAAGCTCTCAAGTACATAGTGTCAGGGAAAATATTTAGCTCCCATTCAGAAACTGCAAATCTGTTTCCTGAAGCACATTAATTAAACAGCCATCAGAAAAGGGAATAGAGTATTGAAAATGAGACTGTTATTATTTTTACCTGGAGCACATGCCTTACATCGCCAGATCACTGCAAATGTTACTCTATTAAATTTCAGTCATCTAGATACGTGTTCTGTAACCTGCACAAGAGCTACATTCAGTATCTCTGGTCAGCTGTTCAATCAATCATTTATTAATTGTCAACCCTCACCTCTGAGTGGTAAGAAAAAGGTAAAAAATAAAACATAGTTGAGAACAGGTTGGCCTTGACTTATACACATAAAACAATTAAAGACCAATATAAGAATTTTTTTAAAAAGTGCTCATGGTTTTGGTTCCTCTCTGAGTCCACTCTAAGAATTCAGAAAATGGAAGATCGTTATGACTTGTGAATCCACAGAAGAAGTGAGACATAAGACTGGTTGTTACTATCAACCCGAAGTCCACCTCATCATTTAGCTTGGGAGAATTATTCAGAATCATCATATAAATTATTCATTTATTTCCTGACACACCAAAGCTCACTAGAAAGAGCTGCTCATAGGAGGAGCGATTGATTACAAATCGTCATATGCAATTTGAGTTTTCACCCTTATGATTTTCTTACTTTGTGGTTTATATTTGAAAGGACTTTCTGTTTCCTCTGTCTCCAGCTTCTTAACCTGCATGGTGTGTCTGCACCAGCAGCCAGCAATCACAAGGCCTCTCCTTGTACTTGTTTTAACCACTTTCTCTGAAAGTTGCCTGCAGTTCCACCAAATAAATTTCATCCACACCACAGTGCCTACGATGTAAGTCAGGTCATTAGCACTAGGTAAAAGTCCTTGCGGTAATCTTTCTGGGAAACATTAAGGGACAACAGAACCTTCCTTTATATGATAGACTGGGACATACACGAGTACATGTAACAGTCATGCCCGTGTCTCCTCGCACCCGGGATTAAGTTGTGGGAGGGAGAGAAGGGGGGGGAAAGCAGACTGATCCTGAGTCCCAGTTCACTTTAGGCCCATAGAGAGCGAGAGGCGGTGCAGCGAGGCACAGCAGACTCAGAGGAGTGGTTTGAAATGCCTTTGGTGTAAAGAATTAATAAGAGAAGAACAAGAGCGAATTTGAGAAGAGCAGGTAGGAGGCTACTGATTGCAAGTCCAGACAGACGAGAGGAGATGGTAGCTTAGGCTGGGGGATGCTGATGAAGGGGACGGGGGAGGGCGGAGGTGGGGACTGGGTGAAAGAAGGTGAAGATTAGCCAAAGAACTTAGATGCATTGCCCGTGGCCACAGACAACAGAGTGGGGATGGCCAGAGGGAAGGGGGGCAGGGGCTGGATGCAGGTGAGCAAAGGGGAGGAAACAGGGGCATCTGTAATAGTGTCAGCAACAAAAATAAAGTTCTATATATAAAAAATTGACTTGCCCCACTTCCACAGTGACCGACATTTCATGGCTCGTGATCCTTCTGGTCCTTTTGACTTCTCTCAGTTCCTGCTTTGAAAAGTCTCATTTGTTTCTTTACTTCTGAACAATTTCTCTACTCTAAAAACTTCAGGGGTTGTGTGTTAGAAAAAAAATTCTTCATTACACTTATTAAAGGCAATGAGGCCGACTTTATTCAAGGGAGGTTACTGCAGTGGGGTGTTTGTAGTGGGAGCAGAGAGAGAAGCAATCAACTCCAACAAGGTCAAGTGGGGATTTATACCCAAGGAACCGGGTGAGGGGGAAACCCCAAACTTATGTTTAAAAATGTCACTCTTTCCTCTCGTGCCTTCTTAACTAAATGGACTGCTCTGTCCAAAAGTCATTTAAAACGTCAGTGGCTGTTGTGGGGAGCTTTTGAAATACCCAACCTTACTTTTCTTAAAAGCAAATTGGACAGGCATAGCGTTGACACCTGCAAAACTGAATGGATCATGCATTTCGCGTTGCCTTTTGAGCCTATCAGACATCACCAGGAATCAGAAGTTGCCTGTCTCTGAAACTAGGTTTAAAATGGACTGAGGCTAACAAGGGAACATGTCTTCTGAAGCCTCGCGTTCCCTGCCTCAGCCCCATCTCACCCTTCCGCCTGGACTCCTTTGCTTCGGGGCCTGCCTCTGGAGCCATCAGGCCACTTTTCCCTGACGCACGGTGATGGAAGTTTTTATTTTTCATTCAGTTGGTCTGATACATGGTTCTTACTGCTTTTTGTTTGGGCCAAGACCTTTCTTTGGAAAATTACTGACAATGAACTGCAGTGTGAATGAGTATCACTGGCAAATGATATCATTGCCAGGCAAATGAACAGATGTAGATGAGTCAGATTTTCAGTGGGGATTAAAGAGCTCGCTGTTCCTTCTTTTCCACTCCGGCCTTGAGTGAGGCGAGTCCACGCGATCCCTTTGGAGTCGTAGGGATGACAGCCCCCAGCAGATTCATGCCCCAGAGCCAATCCTCTGGTGACTTGCTGTGATCTCTCTGCTGGCAGCACACGGAAGGTTGTTAAAGGCCCCACCTGTCAAAAACAGGGCCCAGGTCATACGGCCCCGGAGGCATAGCCTGTGTATAAATACCGAGGGCAGCACCGCCTGCCAGGGGCCCACCCGCAGAGCCGGGGCCCAGGTGCATTTTCTGGGGGAAAGCGGCAGGGAGAGAGCACCGGGTGTAATGCTCATTTGCCTGGTAAGAAACTTTGGCACAGCAGATAGGCCACCTTTCAATGGTTTCAACTCCAAAATGCCTGCTTAGCCGAACAAATTCTTGTAAACCAAAGGAGAAAATATTAAGAGAGGAAAAAGAAAAAAATAGATTTATCTTTTTTTTTAACATGGTGAAAAGAATCAAATTTAAAATACTATAAATATAAGTCTGGATCCGTTTTTCAAATCACTGAAATTCTAAAGAGTCAACAAGAGAAAGACCTGCTGCAGATCTTTCTTAAATCTAATTCATAAGCAACTTTCCTTACCTAAAAAAACCTACTAAATATGATATAACAAAACAAGATAAAAACATTATTTTCAGAGAAACACACGGAGGTGGAGTGTTTGAGTAAGAGAAGAAAAGTAATTTCTGATAAAGCAGGTATGATGTGTTCTCTCCAAATTTTCCACTTTATTTACAACATATTATTGAGCTTGTTGAATATATTCCTTATTTAAGCGAAATACATATACATTTTTTAAATGTTAGGTATTTGATACTTGAAATATTATTACTTAATGCCTTTTTCATTTTTTTCCTTAAAATTCTGAGGAACTTTTAGATTTTCAAAATCATTATTTCGGAGTCCTTATGTCTGTGTCTTTACTCTGTAATCTTTTCCCTTAAAGAACTACATTTGAACTAATAAACAATGCAGTCTTTGCTCCTCCCCAGAACTGTTAGCAAATATTTATTTTGAACTCCTGGCAAAAATAATTAACACCTCTGTGCTTTCATTAGGTGATTGCAATGTTGCTGTGAATTTGGTTCTTTGTTGCAATGCTATTATGTCCCATGATAAAAGTGAGATGTCAAACTTCATTGTGTTTTATTTACAAAATTACTGTATCTTTTGTGGAGGTGAATCTTCAAAGAAAAAGATTCTATGTTCTGTTCAGTTTTTAAACAATAAACAAAACCCCAAGTGCATTTAATTTCATGAGCATCTCCTTTTTAAACAGAGCAATAGACCAGCAGTCATATTTGCATTTTCTTATTTGTTTTTATAAATTTTGGTCAAAAGCTTAAGGTAGGGGCTTAAAAGTATTATTACCTTTGACATTACCTTAACAATTTACCCATGTAATAATCTTTTAAATAACCATGTGTCTTACCCTTTTTGTCTTAATCTAACATTTAGAGGTTTGAGTATTTCTCTAATACATATAATCATACATCATAGAAATATGAGATAATGCTATTAATTTCTAGCAAGTGTTTCATATTGTGTTTTCCAAAAAATAGAATAAAATAAATAAAATTTCCCTTATAAACCTAGGAATTAAATAATATCAATCTTTCCAGGAATTATGTTTTCAAAAATGAAACTTTAAACTCCAGAAATTACACCATGAAGTATTAAAGAGTGTGCTATTTTGTATGAGGAATGCTAAGTCTATGTATATACAGTGACAAATACCGAAGTAATGCTGTGGTAATTGTTAGCTATCTTTAAAGATAAATTTTAAAAGAACATTAAAAAGAAAAGATTTTAGAAGGAGTTGGAAGAGGGTGTGGGGGATAAATGGTGATGGGGAAAAATAAAATAAAGAAAAAAATTAATTCACAAATACAAAGAAGATAAATGGCAAAATAAAGTTGATTAATTAAAGAAGGTAACTAGATGTTTAAGATTTCATTATATTCAATATCTTAGAGCTTAGAAGGCAAAGTAATAAGTAACGAAATAATTTGTGCTGTGTGTTCCAAGACTGACTACAGTTTATTAAAAAGTTAAACAAGTCTTTGTCTTTCTTACATTTTACTTCTCTATTTGTCAAGTTCAACTCAACGGCATAATGTTTGATTGTTACAATTAAAATATATCTAAAGAAAAATGCTAATCTGAAAAAATTAAATTACTATATCTGAAGCAAATAAAATGTGCTATACTGTTAAGATTTCAACTAATACACATTGGAAAGAATGTTGAGCTTTAGTAGCAAATACTGTAAATATTATTTTCAAAGGTACTTGTATTCTCATTAATATCTTTTCCAAGTAAATCAGGTAGGACGTGCTTGTGGGTTCATTTTCCCAATGGACCAGGGAGTTTTAATCTATTCTCTGGCCAAAGTCCACCTCTCTAACCTGGCCCTAGATCTCACTAATGCTTGTCATTGGTCATCAGGATTACACATCAAGTCCTGGCACTGGAAAAACAAACCAAACCCATGTCATACTCTGGGTGAGCCAGTCCCATTAATTCCACATTTTCAGAGCAACATGCATAAATTATATAAAGCAACAGCTTAAACAATGGGCACACAAGGATGTATTATAAAACTGTATCCCTGAAACCTATATAATTTTATTAACCAATGTCACGCCAATAAATTAAATGAATAAAGATGTTAAAAAATTAAATAAGATAGATATAAATGACTAAGATTAAAAACAACAACAACAACAAAACAAGCATCCATATATGTCAAATTTGTTTCCAACATGAGACTTGAAATCTGTGGACAAGATGATCTCAACCTGAATTTGAATTCATGAAATTGCTGCTAAATGAAAGGAGATAAGCCACGAGATTTACAGAGTTCATCATTTGAAATATTTTCCCCTTCATTTTGAGATTATTCATGTATAATCTTGTAGGCATTAACATATTTTTTGTTTACCGTATATTGCTCTAAATTCTAAAAACTATATTGTTTACATTGCAGAGAGAAATGTTTCCTTAATTGAATATATTGTGTGTAGTAAGGGCCGGATCCAAACCAGTGCTCCTGAACAGTAGGGAATTCAACCTGGGACTGGAAATGTAGCCCGCTGGGCCTCTCTGAAAAGTTTTCAGTAATTTTTATTGTTTTTCCTTTCTTTCACGGAAAGGAGGGGAACACAGTACTTTTGCAAAAGACTCATAGTACCCAAAGGCCCAAGACAATGAATTCACCTGGCCTTTGGAACCCTGCAGAAGTACAACTTTGCTTTGCTTCGGTCAACAATTCATGCCCTAGAGGTGTGAGGTCTGCGCTGAGCGTCTCTGCCATGTACATTGTCATGATTGGCGCTATAGTGATGACCATACTGGGCAATCTGGTTGTGATCATCGCCATCACCCACTTCAAGCAGCTCCACACCCCAACCAACTTCCTGATCCTCTCCATGGCCACCACTGACTTTCTGCTGAGCTGTGTGGTCATGCCCTTCAGTATGATCCGGTCCATCGAATCCTGCTGGTACTTTGGAAATCTCTTCTGCAAAGTCCACAGCTGCTGTGACATCATGCTCTGTACCACCTCCATTTTTCACCTCTGCTTCATCTCAGTGGACCGTTACTATGCTGTTTGTGACCCTTTGCATTATGTCACCAAAATCACCATTCCTGTCATAGAGGTCTTTCTGCTCATCAGTTGGTCTGTTCCAATCTTTTTTGCCTTCGGCCTAGTGTTCTCAGAATTAAACATAATTGGTGCAGAGGATTTTGTTGCAGCCATTGACTGCGCAGGTTTGTGTGTGTTGATATTTAACAAGTTCTGGGGGGTTATGGCCTCCTTTATAGCCTTTTTCCTCCCTGGGACCGTGATGGTGGGGATTTACGTACACATTTTCACAGTAGCCAGGAAGCACGCTAAGCAGATCGGCACGGGTCCTGTGATGAAACAGGTTGGGTCAGTAAGCAAAATGAGAGCATCATCCAAAACAGAAAGCAAGGCCACCAAGACTTTAAGCATAGTCATGGGAGTGTTTGTGTTGTGCTGGCTGCCCTTTTTCCTCTTGACGATTACAGACCCTTTCATTAACTTCACAACTCCTGAAGACTTGTATAATGTCTTCCTCTGGCTGGGTTATTTCAATTCCACTTTCAATCCCATTATATATGGCATGTTTTACCCTTGGTTTCGCAAGGCACTGAGGATGATTGTCACAGGAATGATCTTCCACCCTGACTCTTCCACCCTAGGCCTGTTTCCTGGACATGCTTAGGCAAAGTTTTCTGTCCTCTATGATCCTTTCCTGGTAGGGAGTCTTGGATGCCTTTTCCACCCAAAGGTAGGAGTGTGGACAGAGTAGACAGGAGATTCTTCCAATTGGTATAACAGACATGTAAGCATGAGGACTTACTCTCTAGCCTTCTGGGTATACCAGAGTGGCTAATTTCTAAGATTTGAGGAAGGCATCTCCAATAAGGAGAAACTGTCTTCCAAGCCTTGCTGATTCCTGAATTTCCAAAATTAAAGATTTAGAATTTTACTCCTTTGGCTTAAATCAAATAATAAGGGCTTTCTACTTTTTTTCTTGTAAAGATCAGAAGAGGAGACACAGTTGGTCTTCACATTCAATGACAGCTATGTACAGTTTATCTAAATCTTTCCTGAGATTATTGTTGCATCTTAGGGAAGTGGGGAGAGAGCCGGAGAGTCCTGGGAGCCTGAATTGTGAAGCGTGTGAATGACAGAAAGGGGGAAGGAAGCAGACAGTTGTATTTACTTCCAATTTTATTGGTTCGGACTTAAACTTCTTTTCAAAAAGAGTTGATGTGAGGTTGGCAATATTTTGATAAAACTGGACTGTCTTATTAAATGAGAAGAATGGATAAAGAAAGAGTTTAGAAGCATATTCTTTCTTTCTCTCATAATTTTTATCTATATACACATGTGGCCTGCGTGCATGTATAGAGGTGGTGTGACCATCTCTTCGGGGCGGGGGGGTACACATACTAATTATTCCCCAAGCCTGAGCTTCATTCACAAACTGAAGTTTTTTCCCTGCCCCAGTTTTAGGGCAGTTTTAGTAATATTTATGGCCTCACTTAATGTCTCTTCTCTGGGTCCTTTAGTCTATCTCTTCCTTTTCCTACCCCATAAACTTATTTCACCAAATTTTGTTTTTTATAATATTCTTTTCATTCTTCACACCATCTCTCTGTCTTTCTAATCCAGCAGTTCTCAGTCAGAACAGTTTTGCCCCTTGGGGGCATTTGGCAATGTCTGGAGACATTTTTGTTGTTACAACCAGAGAGGGAGTGGCAATGACATCTAGGAGGCAGAAGAGAGGCATGCTGCTAAACATGCTATAATGCACAGAACAGCCCCCCACAATGAGGAATTATCTGGTCCAAAACTTCAGTAATGCCATGGTTGAGAAACCCTGTTCTAATCTCATGGCTTCAATGACCACCTCTCTTTCTATTTCTCTCAAATATATTTATCTTAGTCCCTCTCATTTCCCTCAAATTTGAGTTTCTCATTTTTTACTCTCAGTAAAATATCTTTTTGGATGCTCCCTCAAGATTCAAACGAAACATCTCCAGCATCTTCCTTCTAATCCCACCCCACCGACCCCAAACCTGTGTCTTTTTTTTTTAATCTTCACTCAAGGATGCTTTTCCCATTGCTTTTCAGAGGGAGTGGAAGGGGAAGACAGAGAAACAGATGTGAGAGAGACACATCCATTGGTTGCCTCCCACACACGCCCAGACCAGGGCTGGGGATCGAGCCTGCAACTGCAGTAGTGCCCTTGGCTGGAACTGAACCCGGGACCCTTCAGTCCGCAGGCCAAAGCTCTAACCACTGAGCCAAACGGGTCAGGGCAAAACTGTCTCTTCTGACTCCTGCTTTGCACTAGTGTTGGTTGTGCACAGGTGTGTTAGTTGTTCATCTAGCAGCTAACTTCTTGTATGCAAGACTATAACCTTATATTATTCATGTTAGTATCCCACAGTGCCTGGCATGGTGCCGTTCCCAGAAAAATCTCTGAACACATTCACCAGGTGACTAAAACATAGAAACTTTGAGGAAAATGAGAGTTACTCAAGTTCACAGACATAAACAATTATAAAACAAAGGATGTTGGACGGTGGGGGCTGCTTTTCTTGGAAGGAAAGATAAAGCAAAGAGCTATTTGTAAAGAGGAAATTGAACTGAATTTAATTCCTATTCTAATGGACTTTGGTCATATGTGCACAGTGTTGTGCTGGGGAACTTGAGCACAGGACCAGCAGAGGCACACAGTGGAAAATGACTCATCAACTCAGAATCACTTGCAACACTTAGAAAGCAGCTTTCATGCTCAGATAGTGAACTTCCTGAGGCTAAGAATGAGCTCTTCCCTTCCTTTTCCTCAGGTGTCAATAGTCCAACTGCTTCACAGAAAAGTTTGGTCATGTAGAAATATTGTTCACTATCCTCTGTATTGACAGGTTGGAAAAATTTTTAATGGAATATATTTAAAAACTTAGAATGTTTATATGTGGCTGGAGCAATTTATTCATTAGTGTTTGCCTGTATGTGCAGGTACTAAGTTTGCTTTTCATAACAATAACCTTTAGACACTGGTAGGTTGGAAAAGAAAGTTTGTTTCCATTACCATAGATTTTAATGTTAAGTATTTTATTGTAACAATTCTTAGACTAATATCTGAATATTTGGTTAATCAAACCCCCTCCATTCTCTGACCTGGCCAATGACATAGTGCCTCTATGCAGGACATCTAATCCTAAGGTTTCTAATGTTCACATACATACATCCTAAATGCATTCATAAACTTTTTGCTTTTTTAAAATCTACTCTTGCTATTGGGAAACTTTACTCCAAAACACCTTCAATAACATTTTTATTTGGTTAAGAATCCCCAATACCCTCTTGATCTACCTGGTCTGTTGAACATTTATAGCTTCCCGAGGTCAGTAATTATAATTTGATAATTTGAATATAGCATATTTAGGTCCTGCAATGTCAGTAAATTATTGTTTTCACAGGACAGTATTTGAAATTAGAATTGGGTTTTAAGATGCTTAGCAGAGTATTGGTTTATTCTCTTCTGATTGCAGTAATTTAATCCTTCAGGAGGAGATTTCCTCGGCCCTTATCTGGAAGGCAACATTCAGAGGCTTCCTTTTGAAGAATGAAAGAAATAGGAAGAGTCCTCAGGCTTCAGGCCAAGTTAGACCCCCTTCCAGGGCCTGGTAGGGCAACAGAGCCCCTTACAATGTCAGGAGCACTTTACAACTTGCTGTACATGATGAGCCTCCCGTCCTCTTTGGGAATTCAACAAAGACATTTGGACTGCTACACCTGAGGGACTGAACAAGAAAGGCAGCCAGTCATTCAGTGCACACTGATGTTTGAGGCCATGTGATGGTCTTCTGTGCAGACCAGCATTTTATTTGGCTCCCTAGGAGCAGAGGTAAATAGAGGAGAAAGGGAGGAGCAGGTGGAAGCTTCTGTGGTAGCCATAATCATTCCTTACCTTAACAAAGAACTTTTATAATTTACAGAGGGTGTTCATGAACATTAGCTCAATTATTTTTCAGAACAGCCCCACATGCTCTTCAAGGAAAGTGAGCAATCCTGTCACTATTCTTAGTCTAATGCTCTCCTTTCTAGGACTCATCCAGGCTGAAGAGAGTAGCCATTATCTCAGGAGGATGGTGACTACCATGAATACCTTGCTCTCTGTATTAAAAGATACTCAGTTCAACAAACATTTAGTGAGCATCTACTATGTGCCATGTGCTGCTGTGAGGGCTTATGGTTCAGCGATTAATAAAACCCGAATCCTGACCTCAAAGGGCTATGGTCTAATAGGAAAGACCATTAGCCACTCGATTACAGTGCAGGAAGCTAAGGGAGTAGGGAGGAAAATTTAGCCTGGCTTGGGGTTTAGAGAAGACTGCCTGAATTTTAGGCCAAAGGAGTGTGTCATCAGGTTTAGTAAAGGACTCATTTCCAACCACTGAAGTGGGACTATGCATATTGCATTTCAGCTTTAATGTAATATATCCCAGAACCAAAAACCTTTTTTGAGAGTTTCCTTCTTCAGGCCTTATTCCAGTTGTAAGACATTTGTCTCTATTTTTCAAAGATTCTTGGTCAGATTAGATTTACTTACTTAATTCTTTTTATTCAAAAATGCATTTACTTGCATTCTTCCAAAGCTAGGGAATGAATTTGAATTTTACTTATCCACTCGACTAACTGAAACAAAACAACAACAAAGGAACAGAGAAACAAAGCAATAAAAACTGCCTGGTTTACTCATGGTGATACTTAAGGAAAGAAGTGTTTGACCTCATGGAGCTTACATGTCATCGGGAGAGATAGACAAGTAAACAGACAAATAAGATTAGACCAAATTCTCATAAGTACAATTAAGGTAATGAGAAAACAAGGTAGGAAAAACCCCACAAATGAGAGGTAGAGATACCAACCTTATGGAGATAATGATTTTTCTGAGGAAGTGAAGTAAAGGCTGAGGTCTGAAGGGTGGTGATGAGACAAGTCTGTGAAGCTCTGGTGAAAAATAATGCAGGTAGATGTGACAACCTGTGCAAAGGTCCTGAGGCACGTTGTTGGGGGCAATGAGAGCATGGGCGTGGGGAAACATGGTTGGATCATATTGTGGCAGGGGAGATTGTAATAGGATGTGGTTAGAGAGTTTTACAGGATTAAGACTACTCTAGCTGGGCCAATGTGGCTCAGCGGTTGAGCACTGACCTAGGATGCAAGAGANTAGGGGAGACTGTAATAGGATGTGGTTAGAGAGTTTTACAGGATTAAGGCTACTCTAGCTGGGCCAACGTGGCTCAGTGGTTGAGCACTGACCTAGGATGCAAGAGATCGCGGTTCAATTCCCAGTCANCAGGGGAGATTGTAATAGGATGTGGTTAGAGAGTTTTACAGGATTAAGACTACTCTAGCTGGGCCAATGTGGCTCAGCGGTTGAGCACTGACCTAGGATGCAAGAGATCGCGGTTCAATTCCCAGTCAGGGATCATGCCCGGGTTGTGGGCTTGATCCCCAGTAGGGAATATGCAGGAGGCAGCCGATCAATGACTCTCTCATCATTGATGTTTCCATTTCTCTCTCTCCCTCTCCCTTCCTCTCTCTGAAACCAATAAAGACATATTTTAAAAAAAAAACAAAAAAAAACAGCAGCCCAGCCGGGCGTGGCTCAGCAGTTGAACGCCGGCCTAGGATCCAGGAGATCGCTGTTCGATTCCTGGTCAGGGCACACGCCCAGGAAGCAGGCTCAGGGGGCAGCCGATCAATGACCCTCTCATCATTGATGTTTCTATCTCTCTTGCTCCCCCTCTCCTTTCCTGTCTCTGAAATCAATAAAGATATATATTTTAAAAATAAAAAAATAAAAATAAAATAAATAAAATGGCAAATTATATGAATAGATTTTCTAACATTAAAGCAAACTTCCATTCTTGGCATAGACTAAAATTATGATGTTTCATCTTTGTATATATTGCTGGGTTTAGTTTGTCAAAGTTTGTTGAGGATTTTTGCATCTTTGTTTATGAATGAGAATGTTCTCTCATTTTCCTTTTTAAAGCCATCCCTGTGGGCTTTAGTATCGAGGCTATTCTACAGCAAACAATAAATTGTAAGTGGAAATGATGAAATATAAGTGTCTTCCCCTGTTCACACCTTTCACTACCGGGACTCCACGGTAGATGATTTTGGATTTGGGATTTGGCTGTGCATCTTGAGGGTTACTGTCATCACTCCTCAGATGGTCTTGGGTGGAGTGGATAGAAAAAGGCAGCTAATAAATAACAATCACACATATCTCACCAACTTTGACAAAAAGGAATATTCTCTGCATCGAGACCAGGGAGTAAAAGATGTTTGATAAACTGCTAAGCAAGACCTCTTTTGTGAGAAAAGCAAATTGGCAACAGATTTAGTTGAAGTTAAATTCTTATTGGATTTAGAAAATTATTTCCAATTATATTCTTAAGTATTAGAACAATAATGGAAATAGTTAATAATAGCTAACATTTGTTGACTATTTAAGCTGAATATATTGTGATTTCATATGCTCAGATTAAAAATAAATATGGATATGTGGCAGGTCATGGAAATAATATCTGGTAACTAGAGCAAAGGTAATCCATTTTAAAAAAACCTTTTCTCCCCCTTCAGGAAATATAAAACTGCTCTATTTATGTGATTGACAAAAGGGTGGACCTTCTCCAGATGTTGCCGAGGTGTTTACAGCCTTAGGATGAGTGACAGCTCGCTCCCCTCTGCAGCTGTGCAGCTCTGCTACGAGAACGTGAGCGGATCCTGTGTGAAAACTCCCTACTCACCAGGCCCCCGCCTGATTCTCTATACGCTGTTCGGCTTTGGAGCCCTGCTGGCCGTGTTTGGAAACCTCCTGGTGATGATTTCAATCCTTCATTTCAAGCAGCTGCACTCTCCAACCAATTTTCTCATCGCCTCTCTGGCCTGCGCTGACTTTCTGGTGGGGGTGACGGTGATGCCCTTCAGCATGGTCAGGTCCGTGGAGAACTGCTGGTACTTTGGGCAAAGCTTCTGTACTTTCCACACGTGCTGTGATGTGGCATTTTGTTACTCTTCTCTCTTCCACCTGTGCTCCATCTCCATCGACAGGTACCTGGCTGTTACTGACCCTCTGGTCTATCCGGTCAAGTTCACGGTGCCTGTGTCAGGAATTTGCATCAGTCTCTCCTGGGTCCTGCCCGTTGCCTACAGCGGTGCTGTGTTCTACACAGGTGCCCATGACGATGGGCTGGAGGAAGTGTCCAGAGCCCTCAGCTGTGTAGGAGGTTGTCAGGCAGTTGTTAATCAAAGCTGGGTGTTGATAGATTTTCTATCCTTCTGTATACCTACGCTTGTCATGATAATTCTCTATAGTAATATTTTTCTTGTGGCTAGACAACAAGCTAAAAAGATTGAAAATATTGGTAGCCAAACAGAATCACCATCAGATACTTATAAATCCAGAGTGGCCAAGAGAGAGAGAAAAGCAGCTAAAACTCTGAGTATCACGGTGATAGCATTTATGATTTCATGGTTACCCTACATCATTGACTCATTAATGGATACCTTTATGGGCTTCATAACCCCTGCCTACATTTATGAGATTTGCTGTTGGTGTGCTTATTATAACTCAGCTATGAACCCTTTGATTTATGCTTTATTTTATCCTTGGTTTAGGAAAGCCGTAAAAGTTATTGTGAGTGGTGGGGTTTTCAAGGAGAGTTCAGCAACTATGAATTTGTTCTCTGAACAAATGTAAGAAATCAGGTCGAGAAAGTGGAAGATATCTTTACATTTTCCAAGTGAAATCAATTAACACTGTTAATGAAAAGAAAACAAATTGCTTTTCAAAAATTACAGTATAAATCAATGTTTTTCAGTTATATTAGGAGGTATACTTCTTTGTCGCTTCTCCAAAAATATTTATTTGACTGATAAATGTTAAATCCCTATTTGTTAACTGCTGCAGAGCTCACCATACCCACTGCCTGCACACTCCCCTCCCTCCCTTTTTTATTCCATTGACTCTTCCCTTTGTAACCTGAAACCATCTTTGTTTTCTTTGATTTCCTTTCTCCTTTCCTCACAAAGTTTTCTACTGACTCCCAACTTGTCAAAATTTCTCTGTAATTGACTTTCATGGGGCTGCTGCTTTTTTTTTTTTTTTTCCCCTGTTTTCCCAAGGGAAACTTTTGGGTAGAAGTCAGATCTATTTTGCTTAATGTCTGCATGGGGCCTGTGTCAGGAATTAGCCTCAGCATCCCCTGGATCCTGCCCCTTGCCTATGGTGGTACCATGTTCTACACAGGTGCCCATGAGGATGAGCTGGAGGAACTAGTAAGTGCCCTCTGCTCTGTAGGTGGTATCAACTTATTATAAATCAAATTGGATATTGATGGAGTTTGTATTATTTTCCCATCTATCTTTGTTAAGACAATTCTGTACAGAAATATTTTTCTTGGGCCTAGTAAACAGACTAAAAAGATTGGAACTGTTAGTAGGAAGTAGGATTATCATGGACTTACACACCAGAGTGGCTAAGAGAGAAGAGCAGCTAAAACCCTGAGCATCACAGTTAGCGTTTTTGATCTCACGGTTACCATATGTAATTGATTCATTCATTAATTCATTCTTGAGTTTTATAACACCTTCATATGTTTATGAGCTATTTTGCTAGTTTGGTCATTATAACTGTACTCTAAATCATTTGATATATGATTTCTTTTACTATTAGTTTAGAAGAGCAATAAAACTTATAAGTGGCCAAGCAATAAAAGGCAGTTCATCAACCATAAATTTAATTTTTAAATAAGCTTAAATTTCAAATTAGTGGTTTTAAAATTTTGAAATTGATCTGGCAACCTATTAGAAATTTCCCAATAATTATGATATGAAATACAGTGCATGGTAATAATTCATTAAATTGGGGTGGAGAAATAGAACTTCAATTTTTAGTTTTTTTTTATATCTTTATTGATTTCAGAGAGAGGAAAGGAGAGGGAGAGAGAGAGATAGAAACATCAATGATGAGAGAGTCATTGATCAAGCCCGCAACCGGGCATGTGCCCTGACCGGGAATCGAACCCTGATCGCCTGGATCCTAGGTCGATGCTCAGCCACTGAGCCACGCCTGGCCGGGCTAGAGCTTCAGTTTTAACAAGACTGCAACTGTAGGCTCAAACCCCAACAGCAGGGTTCTGTACTGCTGGACTAGCTTCAAGTCTCATGGAAGGGCTCTGCTTATTTCATTTCAGAGATTACATTACCTCTTTGCAACTGCAACTAAATGATGAAGTAAAGAAAATCAAGGGAAATGCAAAACTGCCAGGTGGGAAGGTGTGGTTCCTGAAGACCAGGTAGTTCTGACAGTAACAGTCTTTCCTGACACAGACTTTTGTCCTTGCAATACTACCAGGAATTTGGGGAATTCTAGAGGCAGGTTAGAAGGATTTCTGCAGCCCGGCTGGTGTAGCTCAGGGGCTGAGCATTGACCTAGGATCCAGGAGATCGCCTTCAGGGCACATGCCCGGGTTTCGAGCTCGATCCCCAGTAGGGGGCGTGCAGGAGGCAGCCGATCAATGACACATCATTGATGAGATCAATAAAGATATATTTTTTTAAAAAAGATTTCTGCAAACCACAGGCATCTACCTACTTCTGCTGCCGCTAAGAAGTGTGATCCATGGACAACGGTGTCCCGGTGCTCTTGAGGCCTCTGGGTCATGGCTGTCCCTGGATTGCTGCACCCAGCCAGGGCTGTTCAGTTAGAAGGCAGAGCACCCTTTGTCCAGAGAGAAGCGGCAAAACAATCTCCAAGCTCTTACTTTTTAAAACCAAATGGCTTGCTCATGTTAAGAAGGAGAGATTACAAAATACACACAGTCAGATAAGACATGTTTTTTCTTTTCACCTTTACTTCACCGACAAGATAAACATTTCATTAGGAATTTAGGTCAAGATGGCTCATTTATGCATTCATCAGCCTCTGCGCTCCAAATACATGGAAAAGGCAGGCATGTAAAAAATGGGAGGGGGAGGAAATACATGAAATAATCTCTGTGCACCAGAGACAAGGACACCAAATGTGAGCAGGCCTGACTATGAGGACTAGTGGTTTCCAGGTGCAGAAACAGCTCTGGGATTCAGGATTCTGGCTCCTGTAACAGGGTCTAAAAGTGCTCCAGCCCACACAGGAAATCGTTTTCAGCTCCCTACTGAAGCCAGGGGCCGGGTGAGGCTATGTGACAGGATGCTGAAACAGAATGACGGTGCCCCACTTCCACCTAGGACATCTGGCTTTCAGAAAGCTGCCAGCCTAGGGAGAAACGAAGGCACAGGTACAACCAGGGTCTGTGCTTTCCTTCTGGGAAATCATTTATTCACGCCTAGGTTTGAGTCGATGCTCCCAGATCTTTTCCACTTCATTATACGTGGTGACATATTGCTAAGGACAGAATCTCTAATATGATGGTATTTGGAGGTGGGGACTTCAAATCGAGCAAAGAAGGGAGCTCAATGCCTGGCAGACCTCTTCAGGGTCTGAAAGCAACATATTCCATGCTTAGGAACACTGCTCTGGTGCATGTCCTGGATGACAAAACAGCTTGCCAGCTCTGCATGCAGCCTGGAGCATCCTGCAACGGGCTTGGGCTGCAGCACACCTGCCATACAATTTAGTGGCTTTGTGGTGCTGGTGGTGTTCCTAGTGGGAACAGCTGCCGTGTGGACTTGCTGGAAGGCTCTGGTGAGGAAACACAATGCAGTCCTCTGGGCTCTGGAACAAGGCCACGTTATTACAGTGGAGGGTTAAGCACCTTTTGGAAGATGGCTCTTTTTGTGCTGCTGAGCCAGGCAGTGATGAGACACTTAACCATGGGACACCAGGTGATCATGTGTCTTTAACTGCCCATCATAAAGAGTGTCTTCTTGGATCTTCCACATCATAATGGGGGACCCAGCAGAATTCCTTGTAAAACGGAAGCGATACCTCAGTCGGAACAATCAACAGCATTTCTCAGAAATGAAAAGGCATAGATTACCTTCCCAGAAATTGTATAAGAGCTGGCATTTCTATTATATTCTGTTCTCACAATATGCACACCTGCGTCCACAAACACACATACAAGTGACTGTTGCAAAGATAAGCACTAAATTGTTTCTAATGCCAAAGGGCAATATTTCATCAGTTTCTAAGGACAATACTAAGCTAAGCAGTATAGACCATTTTAAAGATGAGGAAATGTCCTGTCCCTGTTATGACTCATCTTGGTTAAATTTATGAGGCAGGCAGAATCCCCTTGAAAGCCCCACCTGCCTTGTCTGTACTTTCTACCATCTCCTAGGAGCTCCCTTGCCTCTCTGGCCGTCTGTGCTGCATCCTTCCCACCAGTAATATGAGCTGCTAAACAATAGCTATTTGCTGACTAAATTAAATGAGAATATCACATTGTCATCCCCATTTTATAGCTAAGAAACTAAGATACACAAAAGATGAGTAACTTAACCAAGGTGGAAGCTTGTAGATGGCAGAGATGGGATTTAAGCTTAGCCAGCCTGGCTTTCGAACCTCATTCTGGACTCTGATGCTGCGTAGAGCCTTTGCAGATAAAAGAGGGCCCATGATTTCAAAAGCAACCTGACCTTTACAGTCTGCAGAGTAAATCTCTGAGGTATCCCCTCATGTATCCCCATGTTCTTCTTAGAGTATTAAAGTATCTATTAAAACACAAAAGTCTAACTCAGAGTTTACCTACTTGAACACACTGAAGGAAAAGTGAAAACCAACTTAGAGGTCTGGAAGGAAGATGTGCACCCATGCAATCGTAGTGTTTGCAATATGAAATACAAGTACTGGTTAAAAAAAAAAAGTACCAAAGACCAGAGAAACAACTTGGCAAAATGAGTCAAAAACCACAAAGCATGAGGATATTCCCCCACAAAGCTCAATAAATAATCAGGTAGCTAATAGAAGAAATTCTGAGAGGGAAAAATGCTGGGAGGGCAAAATTTTAGCTATATAATGGACTTTAACAGTAACTGTTGAATTCTGAAGGTTTAGCTAGGAAATTTATTATTTAATCCAATGCTATCATTCTTATCTTAACAACAAGTAATGAATTTGACACGAACTCAGTTTCAATGCTAAATGTCAACATATATAGATAGGTCCTTCATGTATAGAGCAAAGCATTGAAAAAATGTAAAGCAAGGAAACTTGATCTTATGGAAGTTTACATTTTCTAACACTTTTTTTATCATTAAATATAAAATTACTTTTAGTGATAGGGTTAGACAAACCCTGTTAATTGCCTAAAACTGGATTTTTCTTAAACATTGATTATTAACATTTTTCTACTTTAAAAAACCAAATAAAGAAGAAGTTGGGAGATATTTTTAATGTAAAAGACTAATAGATCATTATTTGATGGGTGAAAATAAAGAATTAATCATTCATTCACTTTAAAAAAGTATCTTTATGAACTTACTAAGTGCAAGGCACTGTGCTAGGTATTGAAATAACGTGGACAGGTAACAGCAAATAAAAAGGACATTGCATCTTAGTATGTTGCTTTATATGTAAAGTGTAGGAATCTATCTGTGTAAAGGCTGAAAATATCTAAAATTATTGCTCATTAAAATACTATAGTAATCAGAATAAAAAAGGACATATTTAGCTTTTAACACTCACTTCAATTTGATTTTCAATTAACATTACTAACATATTTCTGTTTTTTAAAATATAAAATACAATGCTGAAGA